TCAAAGTCCCAGGTTATTGAGATAGAACCTAAGGACCAACCAGGTTCTAGTCATGTTCAAGTGGGAAATCAGGTAGATGATGAGCTTGAGCAGGAGGAGGTTCAGCATGAGAATATACAGGCACTACAACAACAGCAGCTCGAGGATACTTTGGCTTCCACTAGGCCAAAGCGAGTATACAAGCAGGTACAAAAGCTGGGGGCTGATCAACCCCTGAAGCACTATGGGCAGGTTAATTTGGTTGAATACGCACTCTCGGTGGAGGAAGATGAGCCGGTCTCCTTCAAGGAAGCTATTCGGGATAAAGATAGTGAGAGTTGGTTGGCTGCGATGGAGGAGGAGATGGAATCTCTTCGGAAGAACCAAACATGGGAGGTGGTCCCATTGCCCGTAGGAAGAAAAGCTATTGGTTGTAAGTGGGTGTATAAGAGAAAGGAAGATCCTTCAGAGCTCGGTGGTACAAGGTACAAGGCGAGGCTAGTGGCTAAAGGGTTTGCACAAAGAGAGGGTGTGGATTACAATGAGATCTTTTCTCCGGTGGTGAAACACACTTCTATTCGGGTGCTATTGAGTATTGTTGCTCATGGTGATCTTGAGCTGGAACAACTCGATGTTAAAACGGCCTTCTTGCACGGAGACTTGGATGAAGAGATCTACATGCATCAACCTGAGGGCTATAAGGTTGAGGATAAGGAGCATCATGTATGTCGCTTGAGGAAGTCACTCTATGGACTAAAGCAATCTCCTCGGCAGTGGTACAAGCGATTTGACTCCTTCATGCTGAAGCATGGGTTTTCCCGAAGTGATTACGATTGCTGTGTTTACATTCGAAAGCTTCGTGGTGGTGATTATATTTATCTCCTTTTGTATGTGGATGACATGCTTATTGCTTCTAAGAGCGGGGTGGAGATAGATAGGCTAAAATCTCAACTTGGTAAAGAGTTCGAGATGAAGGACATGGGCGCTGCTAGAAAAATACTGGGTATGGAGATTAGAAGAGAGCGGGCGAATCGGCGATTGTTTTTGAGTCAGAAGGGCTATATAGAGCGGGTGATCGCGAGGTTCGGGATGCAAAGTGCTAAGTCGGTGGCGACTCCATTGGCTTCACACTTCAGGCTTTCAGGTAAACAATCTCCCACTACAGCGGAAGAGAAGGCGCACATGGAGCGCGTTCCCTATGCTAGTGCAGTTGGCAGTTTAATGTACGCAATGGTGTGTACACGTCCAGATATTTCACAGGCGGTTAGTGTGGGCAGCAGGTTCATGGCGAATCCGGGAAAGACGCACTGGGAAGCGGTGAAATGGGTCCTGAGGTACTTGAAGGGTACTGCGGATACGGGATTGTGTTTTGGTGGAGATACATGTCAGATTGACGGGTTTGTTGACTCTGATTATGCGGGTGATCTAGATAGACGGCGATCTACTACTGGTTATGTATTCAAGATACATGGAGCTCCAGTTAGTTGGCGATCGATGTTGCAGGCTACAGTGGCACTTTCTACTACAGAGGCCGAGTACATGGCCATGGCGGAGGGAGTGAAGGAAGCATTGTGGTTGTGGGGTCTTCTAGACGATTTGGGGATTGAGCAGGAGAACGTGAACTTGTGGTGTGATAGTCAAAGTGCGATTCATTTGGCGAAGAATCAAGTTCATCATGCTCGTACCAAGCATATCGATGTCAGGTATCATTTCGTGCGGGATGTCATAGAGGAAGGTGATATTTCTCTTATGAAGGTGCATACGAATGACAATCCCGCAGACATGTTAACCAAGGTGGTCACAGGTAGCAAGTTTAAGCATTGCTTGGACTTGCTTCATATCAGCCCGTGTTGATTTGCCCAAGAGGGCATGGCCCTTCGGGGCGGTGATGGGGTGAGGTGGAGACTTTCCCACATGGAGAACAATTATAGAACTACGGTTAGCTTGATCCCGGTGGAGGGTACGTAGGCAGTCGCGGTAAAGTGACGCAGCTGGTTTGGCCTGGTTTTGTCTTCTGGTGTTCGTCCAAAATTTGAGGTTTATCAAATGATGTACGAGGTGGAGAATTGTGAACAGCGGTGTCGGTGTCAAGTGGGGACCACCCACATGTGTGTGAGGAGATAACGTCATGTGAGCAAATAACGTGTGAGGAGATAGCAATCAGTTTATTTCAATCCACTCACATGTTTGCTGCTCACCCGAGAGGCCCTCATCCGTTTATTTCAATCCTCTATAAATAGAATAGTAGGGGTTCCTAGGTTTCGCTGCTAGTTGGGGGAAAAGCTACGGAAAAAGGCAGCAAGGGAACAGCGGCTTTAGAGAAAGAAAAGCCTGCGGAAAGAGAAAAAGGCAGAGAGGTTTTTTGTTTCTTTTGGCGGCTGAGTATAGGTAATTGGGGTAGTTTTTTGAGGAGAGAAAAAGAGTGATTTTACAAAAGAGAGGTTTATTTCTTTTGGGTAAAAATTAGATCTTTTTTCTTTGAGACGAGCTTGTGGATTGTACAAGTCGTCGGTGTTCTCCTTATAGTGGAATCTCCCCTCACCCCTCCCGTGGACGTAGGCAAGTTTGCCGAACCACGTAAATCTCGTGTATTTACTGTTTTTCTAGGTTGTTGGCTATTGCTTGTAGGATCCCTCAAAATTCGGTCTTGCGCTGATGAGAGGAAGAGTGGATATCTCACTTCGCTGAGATATTTCGCTACTGAGTCTGGGTTTCCTTCGCGAAACACAGATATCGAGGTTGACTTGTGCTTTTGTGACAACATAAGCCAGGGCTTTCTCTCAGGACATATCGCTTCCGCGGCGGTGGGCGTGACTCTGCGCCCAACACTCTCCGTCTAATTTAACCTAAGCCGTGCATTTGAAAATCAATTAGGTGGGCCGGCGCATGTTTTCAGCTTCCATTATATATATAATTGATTTAAAACCATGGGTCACGAGAGAATGACATAAACAGTACTGGTCACTGGTCCAGATCCAACTTTTGGATTAACACCACGTTTTCCTCGTTGCTCTCTATAACATCCAATCATGGTTCATTTCCTCGTTCTTACCCTTTCACTTGGAAAAAATTAAGTAACGCGTCACTGACGCCTCCTACAATATAAAAGGAACCATATAGGCTCCCTTTCTCTCTCACTCAAAGCACAAATTAATGTCTTCAAGTACCACAAGGAGCAAAATGTCTACTAAATCCACAGCCACCACAAAACAAAAGGAGGGAGAGGCAAGCTACAGAGCTCGTAGGAGGATTATAGAAGCTCAAGAAGGCGAAGGGCCGACGACGAGACATCAACGAGTGTTTGCTGATCGATTCATAACAGCGCGTTCAAAGGCAGCAGCTCAGGTTGGAGAATTACCGGCAGATGCTACAGAGGGGACTCTGACTTTTTTATATGTTTGATGAATATGGCGCGTCTGAGATTGTGTTTTTGTGCAATTTGAGTTCATTGGCATTGTTTTATTTTTTTTTCTTCCTTCCTTTTTGGGAAATGTGGTCAGTTTAGGGATTAAATGGTGTAGTGTCTGAGATTAAATTATAATATTTGATTCTCATGATGATTTCAGATTTTTAATTTGTACATTATATATCGGGGTATTTCCCCACGTTAAATTATTGGTTTGTGGCTCACATTTTTTAAATTTCAAAGACGTCCTTTACACTTGGAGGAGGCTATATATGGAAATACTTTCGATCACACTTGAAGAAATTAAGTGAAATACTCTTTCACTTTGCGGGGGACAACGAAATTAATGTTATACTTGGGAAAACTAATTGAAATGTTCTCACAGTTGAAAAAATCAACCGAAATATCAAAACCAATAAAAAGTTAGCAAATCAATCGTGCATGCATGCAGTACGTGCACTGAGATACTAGTTATATGTTAAAAAGATTCATGCAAAACTACATACAGATTGAAGTTCCAATATGGATGGGGAAAATATATAAATAAACTAACGCATATATAGGTTCCACTCTTTGGAGTTTTGAGAGTAAGCTGTTATGTTCTTTGTGTTGTATATCATAGCCTTAGTAGCTCGACGAAAAATTATATGTTGACAAAAACTAACCAACTAAAGTATATTTTTGCTACAATTGTATAATATAACTACTACAATTTCATGATCGAACAGCTCTTCATTCCTCTTCCATAGCAAAAAAAATCTGCTCCACAAGAATTCACCTCAAAATTTTATCCATTTACCCCAGTGGGCTCTCTATCAAGCCCAGCCCACAACTGATGCGTAGAATTCTCCTACGGAAGAAGAGACCCATCGTTAAGCTTTCAAACCCCGTATTCAGTGAAGATTAGAAATTAGGAAAAGATGAGTAATTAAAGATAATAAATTACGAAGTGCTCTAAAAAATAATTAATAAGTAAGGGCTAAGAATATATTAGAGATCCAATAAATTTTGAATTTTAGTGTGTTATCTTTGTAGGACAGTAATTTTTCAAAAGAGAATACACGTATTCTTGTTTGTTCAAAGACTTATTTTAATTGGACAACATTTTTAAACAAAGAGATAGTGTGGTATATTGTTTGTCTATAAGATATCCTCTAGCACTCCAAAAAAAACGAAGAAGAAGAAGAAGAAAAACAGGAAAAAAAAAAGAAAAAAAAATGGAAAGAAAACAAAGAAGTCTGACATGTGTAAATGCACGTGACGGAAGAGTTGTTGTTTTAGTAATATTTTAAATTTTATAAAAAATATGAAGATCGTTCATTTTACTTTGAAATGTTTTATTTAGCCGACGAAATAGAACTAAGAATCATAAGAGCTATATTAGATCCTAGGGAAAAAAAAAAACTATATTAGAACCTGTTAACCATCCAGGTCACGATTTGCAACAGGCCAAACTAAAATATGGCAAGCCAACAATATATAAGTTTATGCGCTTTAAATCGGCTCTCAATGAAAAGCCCAGCCCACAACTGTTCCCAAGGAGCCCAAACAGAACGAACGGGTAAAGATGCATCAGTATCTCAATCGCACGGTCGAGA